GGTGTCTGTCTGGATAGGTACAAAGTCATATAGCTTAATGGATAGACTCTATCTTTGGTGAGAATGCCTGTAAGTCATTCTACAGGAACAAGGAACTAGCAGATTTGTTATGGTAATAATTTAGGGTGAGCAATTGACATGCCGAACAGAGCTTCAATCCAGAGGGACTTTGAGAACTGAGGGGACAGGCACCTTGTGGAGTTTAGGAAGGAGAGTGGAGTTCTGTAGCAGGGCAGAGTGACCCCATGCATCTGTTCTGGCTGAGGACTGACTGGCTGAGGAGCAGCCCCACTGAAAGGACCAGGAAGTTGCCATAGATACCAGTAAGGTCTGATCCTGACAACCCACACACCACACTGGATTAGGAATAACATAGCCAGAGATTGAAGGAAGTTATTCCTGTCTATTTAGCAGTGGTGTGGCCACACCTGGACTGCTGTGCACAGTTCCCTACCACTGAAGCTCAGGAGAGATGTGGAAGAACTAGAGAGGGTCCAGTGGTGGCCTACCAAGATGGAAGCATGTGACCTACAAAAAGGTTAACAGAACTGGGCTTCTTTGCTTGGCAAAGAGGAGTTTCAGAGGTGATCTATTATCAGCCTACAGCTACTTGAAGGTGAGTTGCAAAGGTGACAAACTCAAACTCATGTTGGCAATGGCAGGTGATATAGGAAGTGATGATGGCCACAATTTCTAGCTTGGGTTGTTCAGGCTGGATACTATGAAAAACTTTTTTGCTAAGAAGTTGGTGCAGTGCTAGAACAGGTTATCCAGAGGCATATTGAAATCTGTATCCAAACGTAGAAGAAGCCACAGCTGACTTGCTCTTGTGTTGGTGGTAGTACTGCCTAACACACAGGGTTTGGATTAGAGACTCTATAAGTCCCTTCCCACCAACGAGTCAAGGCAATGCTTAGTGTGCACATGCTTGGATGACAGATTCAGAAGCCATTCAAGTCATGAGCAGCTCAGAAGAAAAATTATTTGTAAAAGGAAAGGCAAAATATTTATTAAAGAGAAGAAAGGAGGAGCTTCTTAGAACAGTACTGCTCTACTACCTTAAGTCTAAATTTCTTCCGAGACAAGAACACAGAAAAAGTAAGTCACTTTAATGCATTACACTAGATTTTGATTCAAAGACATTTAAGTGATGTGAGTCCATTGTTCTGACCCTGGTACATCCATGATGCATATTGTCAGGGCAGCTACTTGCTCTGTCCTTGTCTCAAGTGAAGCTAAATTAGCATGCAGGACAGTGGATCTGGCAGTGGCAGGACAGACCCAGGCCCTAGGGGTAGCAGCTGTTCAGAGGCATGTACTTATATTGAACATGATAACAGAAAAATAATGGAACCGAAACCAAGATTTTACTGTTCCTGTAGGTTGGCAAGGTACTTAAACAGGTGTGAGAGCAATCAAGTTACAGAGCATGTGTTAGATCATTTCCCCTTGATTCATTATCAGCCCTACAGCTGCTTTCCGTGGTGAAATGGACTGGGTTTCCATTCATTCAAGCCATGAAACGGGACTGCAAGGCATTTTAGGCAGCAAAGATCAGTGGTCCTAGCCTGCTGCCACCTTCACCACCTTTCAGTGCTGTAGATGACAGAACCGGAGGCAGCAGGCTCCAGCTGCTTTCAGTAAGTTTTTATTTTAATCACTCCAGTATACTTTCTCCTCTTTGCTTGTAAAAGAGATGGGCACATGGCAGGGCAGCACTGCAGGGACTGTTTACTTTACATCTTATCAGCAGCATTAGGTGCTTTAGAGACTACCAGAAAAGACCCAGGTACGAGCCGCTCCCAGATGGCAGGACTTTGGACCACAGCATAGAGCTGCTGTGTCCAGATGGACAAGGCTTTATCTACTAGTTCTGTCCCTGGAAACAAGGTTTCTAGGATTTTCAATTTCTTTGTCTGTCCTGAGAAAAACCCTCTCTTCCCTCTTATTCCTCCTGTTCTTGTTAGGCATCCAACAAAGTACTTGCCTTAAGAGTTATCAGCAAGATATTGTTGACAGTCCAAGAGGATACCTCACTGCCCTCGGAGAGGTTTTTATACAGAAGGGAAGGTCAGTCAGCGTAAATGTAAAGGCAGACTCCACGTGCTATATGCAACTGTGCTCCAGAACACTAAGGCTGTTTGGCTAATGGGTGAGAAGGTAAGGCTTGCCTCTGGGATTTTGCGTGCAAGCCAAATGGGTAAAGCTGCCCAGTTGCTTTTCAGTAGCAGTATATACACTGTTGTGTGGTTGTTTTGTTTTTTGGTTTTTTTTTTTTTTTAATTCAAACTAACTCACAAGGGAAGCTGTGCCGCTAGCTAAGGAACCATCGCAGGTATGCTCCTGCACCTTTTTTTTACCCCAAAGATCTAGATAGTTTGTAGTAAAATGGAAGATGTTCCAGCTGGATCCCCGGGCCACTGCTTAGCGGTAGGGCGCGTGGCTGGAGAGGCAGGCTAGCTGGGAGTAGGAAGGAGTAGAGCACCATCGCTTGCCGGTAAAGACCCGTGCGCGGGGGCCGCCCTCCCGGGGTCGGTACCCGCCCTCCCGGGGGTCGGTACCCGCCCCACGCCCGCGGGCGGCCGCCGCTGCTCCGCCCGGTCCCGCGGCTCCGGCCCCGGGCCGCGCCGCCCCGCGGAGCGATGTGGCGGGACGGCAGGGGGCGCCCGGCGAGGGCCGCGGCACCAGCGCCACCTGGTGGCCGCGCTCCCGCGGCCGCTGGGCGGAGCCCCGGAGCGGAGCGCGCGTGGGCGGCGGCCCCGGGCCGGAGCCGGACTGGGGCGGGCCCTGGGTGGAGCCGGACTGGGGCGGGCCCTGGGTGGAGCCGGACTCCGCCCCTGCGCGGGGGCCGTGGTGACCGCTGCTGTGGCGTGCTGCGCTGCCTGGGGTTTCTGGAGCTGGCCATCGCTCCCGCGTGGGCTGGGTCAAGGGGTTGGGTTCCTCCCGAGATGCGGTTGCTCTGCTTCCTTCCATCGCCTTTCCCAGATGCGGCTTCTGATGGCCGTTCCTCTAAACTCACAACCGTCGATTTGTCCGAACGTCTGTGACTAGACATATGTCTGGTCTTAATCCTCCTTGTCCTAACATACCTGATTTGGGCTTTTCTGTGGCATCAAAATTACCAGCTGGATTATTTGCGATGTGACAGTTCTTTAAGGTCGCTCCTGTCGTTCCACAGCACAGGCATGCATGTCCTGTGCGCTCATCTCTGCCACCCCTATCCAGAACTGCAAGTTGCCTGTATTCAGCTGGGGGTCTGGCGATGTTAGAAGGCAACAGAGTTCAGCTTTTCAGCATGTTGCTTAAATATGCTTATTTAAGAACTGATGGTGCAGCAGCAAGGCCTTGTGAGTTCTGGGAGGCGGGCAGTGACCGTGGCATCTGCTGCACTTCAGTTTGGTTCGTTCACACTTGCATGTACCCTTACTCAGTGAAGTTCTCTGTGTTCAGTTTCTTTTTTTGAGGAAAAAAGGGTGGTGAAGGTGACTGCATCTCCTCTTTCACCTCCAAACTCTAACAGGTGTATATTAATGCTCTGCTAAGGGAAAAGCCAATAAGTTCTGGATATCCAGAATGTAGGCCAGAGTGAGGGAGGTTTGTCCAGTCTGTGTCCTCACTCACTTTCTCTCACCTCCCGAGGCTTGCTCTGTCTGTGTAATGTCCTTTGCTGCCTCACAATGATTGCATCCTTACTTGCTTGGGCAGAAGGAAACTGTCTCTGGTTAGGACAATCTGTGCAAACAAGACAGATTCTGGGACCCATGTCTAGAAATAACCAGCTCCAGCTCTTGGTGGGCATTGGGTAACAGTAGTAATGGAAACTTGTGGGGGTAGCTGATGAGCTAAAAAATTAGCCTGCTTTGTGATGTTGTGCAGCCTGTTTGTACATGAAGTACGAGCAGTTGTGGTGACTATCTAAGGGAACTGAACTGTGACATCAGTCAGCACACACTTGGGGTCAAACTTTCCTCCAGGAAAGGCAGTGAACACGACACACTCAGTGACAAGGTAGGTGCAGGATATTACTAGATGGGATGCAGAGATGCTGAGATGGTATTGTAATGCTGATCCATTCACAGGACATTGGGACAAAGGTGGGAGATACAGCTGCAAAGATGGCAAGACCAAAGTTGAGCTGTTTTCAATGCCTCCCCATTTTGTCTCATGCAGAGAGCTTCCAGGGAAGAGCTGAAGCTATATCCCAGGATCCACTTTCCCAGCAACACAGGCTTTTGTAACCGCTGTTCCTGGCCAACTCCTTGCAGCCAAGACACTGCTCTCTGAATGGCAAACTTGCATCTCAGACATCTGCTGAGGACTCTTTTACTTTGGAGAAGACTTTAGTTCCCCTTTCCAAGAAGTATTGCAGAGGCAGAGCAGAGCCAGGCCCAAAAAGCCTGAGTTTGTAGCTTTGGCTAGGGGCTCCAGTGTCTCTTTTCTGCATGTACGAGGCAGTAGTGAACAGTCCCCCTTTCTTTAGCCTGGGCCTATGCAGCAATTCCCTGTCATCGAGTTTCTGAGAATTTAAGACATCTTGGATCTTTACAAACTGCACCGCTGCTTCTCATTGTTGCTTTTCACTCTTGCCCTTCCAAGAGAGTTCTTGTGCCTCCATGCCAGAAGTGCCGATAGCAGCGACCTCAAGGGGCACACAAGAGCATGTCACAGGCCCCCCACTCGACTTACACAAGATGATATCCACCAGGCGTTGGTGGACGGCTAAAAGGGCAGAAGCAACAGGGCGATCTAGCTGCGCTTTCTGTCTTCTCAGGTGAAGGACTTGGGCTCCTGCCTGTAAAAGCACAACAAAGGCGGAAAGATGCCCTCAACACAGAGCTGACGAGGCGCTGTGTATCCAACGCTTGCCAGTTTGGTCATGGCTGGAGCCGCGTTCTCAAGTCAGGCACAAGAAGCCACGTAGCTTTTCCCATTTTTTGTGAGCGCTCCGGTTGTTTGTAAGGCCCTTTGGGGCTGAAGGCCCCCAGCACCCGCTTCCCCGTTAGCCGGGGGTCGGAGAGCCGTGTCGCTGCAGCCGTAGCCCTCTCCCCGCCCCGCCACTCGCGCAGCCCGAGCTGCCACGGCTGGGGGCCCAGAGCCCCCCCGCGCTGCGTGGGCCCGGGCCCCGGCCCCGCCGCGCAGCCCCTCCCCGGGGGCGGCCCCGCAGAGCCGCGCAGGTCCCGCCCGGCGCGGCGGGGCGGGGCGGGGCGGCCGCCGCGCTCGGCGCTGCTCCGCGTTCTCTCGGGACGAGGGCGGCTCCCGGCCGGGCCCGCAGGCCGGTGGGCCGCGGCGCTGGTTCACGGCCCGCAGGCACACGCCGCTCCCGCAGGACCCGGACGGCCCGGAACCGGCTATGACCGGGGAGAACTAGGGCCCAGCGGCCCGCGGCAGCACCGAGAGGCCCCCGCGGCGGCGGCGCCCGGCTCGCTCCCGCCCCGCCGCGCCGGCGGGGGCCGCGGGGCCGCGCTCGTCTCCTCGCCGCGAAGGTTTGCGGGGTGGGCCGCGGCGGCGGGCGCGGGCCGGAAGCGGAACTGCGGCGTCTCGGTGGCGGCTGGGCCGCTCGGCCCTTCCGCTTCCTGCCGGGAGCCGGCGGCGGGCGCGCCTGTGCGGGCGGCGGGTGACGGGGCGTTCCTCCGCAGCGCTGAGCGGCGGCGCGGCCCGGCGCGGCCCATGGACCGGCACAAAGTGAAGCGGCAGCGGCTGGACCGGATCTGCGAAGGTGAGGCGGGGCGGGCGGCGTCGGCCGCGGCAGCCTGCCCTTGTGCGGCGAACGGGCCGCGGCCCGGCCGCCGCTCCCGCCGTCCAGCTGGGGTGCCCGGCCGGCCGGCGGCGAACGGGCCTGCCGGCAGCCGGGCCGGGTCTTGCCGCCCGCGGGCGGGCATGTCCCCCCCCCACCCCGCGCTTCTGCAGCGCCGTCCTGCTGCTGGGGGGACAGCGGTGCCTCGTCCTTCGGGAAAGGGGCAGCTGCTCGGGGCCGTCGGAGGCCCTGTGAATGTACGAGTTCTTCTGCTCACCGGAGGAGGAAATAGACCTGGTGTCTTAGCATGCTGGGGGGGGGGGGGGGGGGCAAGTTAATGGGGAGTAGGCCTGGAGTTTCAGGAGCCTAGAATAAGGTGGCATACTTCTGAGTAGACCACCTCTATTATCTTATTACTGATAAAGGTTGTTTTATTTTCTTTATAGTCGTGGCAGAGGATTTTTTTTGTTCTAGCTTCGTTTTCCTGTGTTGGCTTCCTATTTATTTCTTCTGTTTTGACTAATCTCTTCATAAATACCATAGAACTCGTAACAGAACTAGTAGCTTGGGCTAGCAAATGGGGGTTCCAGAATTCTTGTCTTCCATGTAATCACTCCTGCTGATTTTCTTAATAGGCATACGGCCTCCTATTGTGAATGGCCCAATGCCAGCACGGCCACTGGTTGCACTCCTGGATGGACGAGATTGCACTGTGGAGATGCCTATCTTGAAGGATGTTGCTACGGTGGCATTTTGTGATGCTCAGTCAACTCAGGAAATCCATGAAAAGGTGGGCAAGAAAATGTGCAAGCATTCGGACGTAGAGCTCTGCCTTTTAGAGTAAGCAAAGCAGAGATTCGTTTGGACTGTTTTTTCTTGTAGGTGCTGAATGAGGCAGTAGGAGCTCTGATGTATCACACCATTACCCTTTCTCGTCAGGATCTGGAGAAATTCAAAGCCCTCAGGGTCATTGTGCGTATTGGCAGTGGCTATGACAATGTTGACATCAAATCTGCTGCAGAATTAGGTATGACGACACCATTAGGGTTCTGTTGTGATCAGAACTGAATGTGGAGTGGAACACTGCACATGTTTTTCTGTTTTATAGCTGAGTGCATTTAAAACCTTTCATGTAAAAAGATTTGAAGCTGCTTAGTATCAGGTATCTTTAGGAAGCTGACTGATATCAGAGCTGGTAGGTGGCTTGAAATAAAGATTCTCAGTTCTCCGATTATTCTGCTATAGATGTCAGTGGTTTTGCTGTTAGTTGGGATTTAGAATCCTGAATATGGTGTAGAGGTGGCAAGGTGGCTTTGGGTTGTTTGTGAGAAATAAGTGAGCCAATTCTGATGTCTGAAAGGAGCCTGCAGATGCTGATGCAGGATAAACTCACTGTAAATGCTTGATAAGTGAGTTAATTTTTTTATATGCAGGTAGGTTCTGATTCAACACTTCATTATTGGTCCCTTAGGAGCCCTAGGCATGTGAAGAGTCTCAGGATCAGATGACAAAAAGTTGATCTTTAATAAATATATGGCAGTGAGACTTTTGGACCTTGCAGTCTCCTAGGTGAGGTAGCTCATCTAAGTACCCTGCCCCTTTTCTAGGCTTGTGTCAGTGATTTTGAATCCCTTCTTAATGTAATGCAGATCAGATTAGGCTTAAATCAAATGCAAGTATTTATATGTAAAATTGAAATAGGCATTACAACTTGCAGATCTGTAAGAACAGATGAATTGCAAATAAATGAAGAGTGCCTATTTGTCTAGTGCTTAAATTATGTCTATAGAGTCTTCTCATCTGAATGATTCAACTGAATACTCTCAAGAGTTCCTGGCAAGGTCTTTGGCTCTCATCCAGCTATTACATTTTTGGGCTGATTTTGGAACCTAATCTACTCTTAAGGTTCTCTACTTAAAGTCACCATCCATATTGTTGATTCGTTCAGATTCAAAGCATTTCCTTTTCCCCCACTCCACACTCATTAACCCAAGAAGAAATGGGTCAAAGCTCTTTCACCACCAGACTGCTGCTTCCCACTTTTGCTATGGAGTGATAGTATGATGATCCTTATGCATGGCCAGATTTGCTTTTTCATGGACAATGAGTGATTATTTTCATGCTTGGGCAGGCCCTTTAATTCATTCTGAGGTAAGATACTGTTCCTTACTGAATCTTCAAATCAAACCAAAGGGCTATTCTGTTTGTTTGTGTTTTCTTACATTTAGGTAAAATATTGCATGTGAACACAAATATGGGTCTAGCTGTGTAAGAGGTGAATGCATGTGGCTTGTCTGAAGTTGAATGAGATGGTAACCAGTGAGATTAAAAGAAATTAGGTTTCCCTGTCTCCCCTCCTCATGTCCCCCAAGTCATCCGTGTGGCATTATGGCATAATTGAAAAGGATTTGATGGAGAAAAGGAGTCAGATATCTGGCATTACGTGTGACTGTTGGCTTCCTCGTTCTCTTGGGAGAGCGTAGTCTGAGTTTAGTCAAATGTCTCCTCTGTAATAGGCTTACAAAACACAGTGATTCATTGAGGAATTTTATGTGCCTTCAACCATTGCCTAGATTTTATTCCTGGTTTTTAGATAGGTAGTAGACTTTTGAGGATGAAGAGATTCCTTGGTCAGACAAGTGGTGAGGGTTATGTTCGGGAAGAGATCATTTTTTCATCTAGTTATTTTTATTTCTTGGCTAGTTTGTTGAATGAAGGATAGCAGCAGTGAAGTGGTATGTTTCCAGCCCTGACCTCCCACATTTTTCCACTTTTTTTTTTTTTTTTTTTTTTTTTAAATAGACTGCTTAGGAATGACCAGATTTTGCTAGTCTTCTGTCTTTCCCTTTCTTGACAGTAGTTTGTGCTTCCAGGACTTTCATTTGGTTTGCATTAGTAATTTACCTGATAGTTCTAGCCATGGATTTTATGGTCCCTTGTGGTTGTACGTTATTCTAGAGGGGGAGCATTATAAGTTGTTATTTTTAAGTGTAACTTCAAATGGGTTTACAGAGGCTCCTGTGGCTTCTCTGCATTTAATGAGTTAGTTACTTATTGTTGCTCCTGGGGTAGCTGATGCTTGCAGCGAGCATCTGGACTGTGAGGCATGAAGGAACTCAACTATCTGTCTTAATTATTCTCCAGTCTGCCAGTTAATCTGTCAGGAGTGTCTCTGGAATGAGTGCATCTTCTTGGATGCAGGTCTTCTAAAACAGTCAGTTTCTTGCATTACTTGTGTGACCCAGTTCTCTTATTTCAGCCTGTTTTTTTTTTTTGTTTCTTTTCTGGTGAGGGCGTCAATCAAATGGATATTTATAAGAAGGGAATTGTATTTTCTTAGGTTTAAAAAGCTGACTGTTGCTGTAGAATGAGCTTCTGAAATTAATCTTTTGTTTCTTGGCAGTTCTGGAGCACTGAATTAACTTTCAGCACTTACTCCTGAAGAGCTCTATGTTGGTTTAGCGTTGTGATGCTAAAAATCTTATATGACCTCTATGGCTTTGTAGGCATTGCAGTTTGCAACATCCCTTCCTCCTCAGTAGAGGAGACTGCTGACTCCACCCTCTGCCACATCTTGAACCTCTATCGCCGTGTTACTTGGCTACATCAGGCTATGCGGGAAGGGAATCGAGCGTCAAGTGTAGAACAGATTCGAGAGGTGGCTGGAGGCGCTGTGCGTATCCGTGGGGAGACTTTGGGCATCATTGGACTGGGTAAGTGATGGGAATTGTTAGTTTAAACAGTGAACTGTGAAAGTTTTTGGGAACCTAAGAGTTATAGACTGGAAAAGTGGTAATTTTACAGCTGTTCATTGTGAAACACACTGACTCATAAGGAATGCTAGTGCCCTATTCTGTGATGCTGGATATCTTCAAGAGTTGGGTGTATGTCATGGGATTGGGGATTTTTTTTCATATCCAAATGGCTAGAAGAATTGAAAGATTCAGACAGCTCTTCTTGGTGACTGTTTCCCTGTGTGCTAGGCTCTGTATCAGTAACAAAGCCACCTGAAAGCTACCAATTCCTTCTCCAAGTTCTTGTAATCAGATTATTACCGCCTCTGACTGAGGGTCGAGGTTTGATTTGAAAAACAGAGCTCCTTCTAGGCAAGCTCTGGCTATTGCATGGGGAAGGACTAGAATTAGCCACATGGGATCAGCACTGAATAACCTCTTCTGGATCCCTGTGGCAATCCTAGGGGTTTCCAGGGCTGCAGTACCTTGGGCCCTGGCAGTAAACTCCAGCGTAGGCTTCCAGTCTACCCCAATATCTTGTCTTTAAAGTTTGTTTTACCTTTCCTTGATGATTGTGGGTTTTCTTTTGTGAAGGCCGAGTTGGACAGGCAGTGGCTCTGCGAGCCAAGTCCTTTGGCTTCAACGTGATTTTCTATGATCCCTATCTGCCGGATGGAGTGGAGCGATCCTTGGGTTTACAACGAGTAGGAACCCTGCAGGATCTACTAATGCACAGCGATTGCATCACATTGCACTGCAGCCTGAATGAACATAACCATCACCTCATCAATGACTTCACTATTAAACAGGTGCAGCAGGAGCTTGATTTCCCCCACAGAGCACTGTGGAAATGAATGCAAACAGAAACTGCTGCTTTCACAGAGGCTGAGAGCGTGTGAATCCTGCTGCCTCTGTCGTGTGCCTCCTGCTGCCTTTGGAGGCTGGGAGCGTGTGGATCCGGGTGCCTGTGCTTTGTGCTGTATAGAATTCCATGTTAAGAGAAGAATAGGGTTGGCTCTTTTTGCCAAGTAATTTCATTTATAAAGAATGTTTTAGGTGATTCAGTAATTTCAAATTACCTTTAAAATGCATAATTGACTCTGCTGGTTAGAACCAGATGTGGCGTGGCTGGAACTGTGTAAGTTTCTTTACACAGCTCTGCCAAAGACTCTCTGCCCAAGCCCACTGCGAAGTCAGTCTCGGGCTCTACTCCTCTAGTCTATGAATGCTTTTCAGTGCTTTCATGAGAGACAGCTGAACACTGTAGTCCAGTTTTTTATAGCTGGATACTTGATTCACGTCCTCTTTCTTTTTTAATGTAGTAGGATGAATATGGAGTGCAGAACTTGAGATTTCCACTTTTGCCCTTGTTGTCTTGTGGTTTTGTTTGTTCATTTTTAAAGCAAATTTCTCAAGCATTGCTTGCAGGCATTTCCCCTGTGGTTAGCTTTGCAGTGAGAGCACTCCTAGTTCGTCCAGGCCTCATCTAATCACTGCAGGCTCCTGCTCATTTCCAGTAGACTTCCCAAGATTCACTTAGCTTCCATGAAAAGTCTCATTCTCAACCCACTTAATATTTTTCTTCTTCCAGATGCGCCAGGGCTGCTTCTTAGTGAACACAGCCCGGGGAGGGCTGGTAGATGAGAAGGCCTTAGCACAAGCCTTGAAAGAGGGGAGAATCAGAGGAACAGCGTTGGACGTACATGAGTCTGAGCCTTTCAGGTAATGTTGGACCTGCATGCCTGCTGCTATCCTATGACTCACCTACACTGGATGATTCTTCTGTTTTTTTGTTATTTGAGTTAGTGATACCCAAGAGGACAGACGCAGTTATTGTTTCTGGAAAGAAATCAACCGCTTTTTTTTTTTTTTTTTTTTTTTTTTCCAACCCCAGCTTTGCTCAGGGGCCCTTAAAAGATGCACCCAATGTGATCTGTACCCCTCACACCGCCTGGTATAGTGAGCAGGCTTCCATTGAATCCAGAGAAGATGCAGCTAAAGAGATCCGCAGAGCTATTACAGGTAATGAGGAAGACTGTGTGCTCTGCAGCTCCTGCTGAATTAATATTCTTTTGTTAGTTCACTGTAAGGATTATGATGATTGTTCTGAAAACTTACTCAGTAACTGGTTTCTGGAAGTGAAGCATAAGTTGATAATTGTTTCTTTGCTTTCTGAGAATCGTGTAACTGATGCTGGAGTGGCACACTGCCTCCTTGGGAAAGCCTTGTACCTAGCACATCTTCCAAAATCCTTTGCAATAATTCTTTTGACAGCTGTACTGTACACATCTTTTTCTGGCGTCGTACATATTGTCTCTTGGGGAAGGTGAGGTTTGGGAATTGCAGTTTGTGGCAAATAACTTATACAAGATCACAAAAGTGGAAAGGAAGGATCAGTTTCTTGTCTTCTCCAGAGACCACTTGTTCAGAGGAGAATCTCCCCTGCGCAGTGTTATCCTGTAGAGGTTGATAGGAAAGATGTGCATTTTCTTTCTATGCTCCTTTGTAAATGCATCAGGGAATGAACCCCTTCTATTTGTGTCCTGTTTTTTTTCATTCTTGGTGCTCTTGCAGGTCACATACCTGATGCTTTGAGGAACTGTGTTAATAAGGAGTACCTGCTGTTAGCAGCTCAGTGGTCCAGTATTGATCCTGCAACTGTCCACCCAGAACTCAATGGAGCTGCAGCTTACAGGTGTGATATGTAGGTTGTCCAAGTTACTGTGTCCAAGCATATCTTCCTACTGAGGTAGGCCAACATCCCTCTTTGGGTTTGAGAACTGCTTTTACCTGCAAGCAGGTGTGTTTCTATTCCTGTGTACTCTGTATGTGAGCTCTTTCCAGAAACTTAGCAGAACCAGTTCTGAAGCTGTACTAGGATTTAATGTTTACTTGGTCGTATTTAGTTCTAGCTGTATACTGGTTAATTTTTCCAAATCCTTGCAAGACCTGCCCAAGATATATCTTAATATAAGAAAGCCTGCTGGGTGCCTGAAAAGAGGTCTGGATCTTAACATTTAGAAGTTGTGCATGTCATTAGGGCTGTATAAACAAAGCACAGTTCTTACCTGTAGCCCAGATATGGGCTATTAAAGAGACTTTGTCCTGTGGATTTGGGAAGTGGCCTAAATAGGGTGTATTTCAGTTTATTTGTCTGTTACAGACCTGCCAAGTGATTGTGGGCAGGTTGCTTCCCTTCTGTTTTTCTCCCGTCTGCAAAGTAGGAAATCCATTCTCTTCCCTTCTCTGAGAGATCAGCAGAAGTTCAGATACATTTATTGGAGAAGGCATAGGAAGAGATGGAAGTAATGGAAGAATAGTTCTTTAGCAATTCATGAGTATCATTCTCCTGTTTTTCATCTTGTGTCTAGCTGTTTTACTAGCTCAGTTCCTTACTTTTTCTGTCTTGGAGCCCAGTGAGGGATAACTGGCAGCTTGCACTCCGGCTGATAGAGAGGGAATTTCTGGCCCTTCCGGGTACCTTCATACAGTGCCTCATACTGTTTTCCACTGGGGATAAATTTTGTACCTGTTTTCCAAATGCTTAGTATGTGACCTGAGACTATCTCTGCCTGTCTGAGAACAGATGTCATTTGGTATTAGGATATAACTGCTACTCTTTAGCTCTGGACGCTTTCCCTGTGTTCTATCTCAGAGCATTTCTGTTAGAAAGAGGGGTTTGTGTTCAGCAGGTGCCTGAGTGCACAGCTTCTTTCCCCTTGCATAACTCTGTTGGACAAGCTTGTAATATTTATGTTTCTTTTGGTTTTAGGTTTCCTCCAGGAGTAGTGGGAGTAACCACGCCTGGGCTACCAGAACCGCCAGTAGTGGAAGGGATCGTAGCTCATGGGATCCCTCCTGTTTCTCACTCTGCACCGCGTACCCCTTCCCCAGGAGACACGAGCAAACTGGATGCAGACAGAGAGATTCCTGCTGACCAATAGCAGCATCTTTCTCTCCTCTGGCAGCAGAAAAAAGTAGGGGGGTATCTCCTCCTAGGACCTTCTTTAACACCCTACAGAGACTGTTTCCTGTTCATACAGGACGGGAGAATGCATTTCATTACCGGCAAACTTCAGCTCTTGCCTTTATTTTGTAACCCTTTTGTTTTAATCTCTCAGTGAATCTTTCTCCTTCTCTGAGGCAGGGCAGCAGTGACCTTGCCTCCCCCTCAGAAATACTTGGTTTAACAAATGAGTTTTTCAGTATATCTGCCTCGGTTGTCTGTGAAAGGGAACTGTCCTTGTGCACTTGAGAATAGAAGTGGAGCTGCCTGATCAGGGATGGCCCTCAGTGTTCCTAACACTGGACTTCAGTGCACACTTTTCAGTTGTGACTTGCAGCTTAAATTTAATTTGGCTGAATGTCTCTAAGTAGCCATGGGGAATATTAGAAAAATATTAGTGAATTGGAGAAGTTGTGACTAATGTCTTTATTATGCCCTTGGTGGAATGCAGCCTAGGCTGAGCTCTGTATATTACTTCTCTTGTTTTAATTCAGGTTTCCTGTGAGAACAGACACAGCACAGGCATTGCTAGTTCTTGACCATACAGAGTTTTGTCTGTGCGGTACTAGACCTGTACTAGACCTGAAGTTGAAAGTAACAGTCTCAAAGCCAGCCCTGTAAATAATTTGGAAGGGATTAAAATGTCGTCAGATGTGTTCTGGTGGCCACCGTGTTTGTGAGGCTTCAGAATAGTTCACCCTGGAGTCCCTTCGTAACTCGGAGAAGGCAAGAGAATGCAGAAATAGGAAAAACTTGCACTGGGAGACAGCAGGTAGCAATAACTTGCAGCTGCAGTTGCTGGTTCCTCACACACATGTACCTCACAGTCTAGTGGTGGTGTTTATCCACAAGGATATGGTAGAATTCTAAGGTTTGTGCTACCTTATTTTTTTGGGTTTTTTTTGGCATAACTGCATCAACTAGAAGTAACATATCACTTGTCTCTGTGCTGATGGAGAAGGCAGCTTTTAACTGTTGACCAAATTTATCTACTTTTGCTCTGTTAGCATGCTGCATCCCCAGTAGTGGGCAGGGCAAGACAGTGTTTTTTTACATGAGTAAGTTTTGTAATACTAGAGGAGAAAGAACACTCTTAGCTTGTCACCTGAAGCCAAGGATGGATTGTTGCTCATGTCTATTCCCATTTCCCAAATGGTTTAATATGAATCGCTTCTTTGAGGGGTATGGAGTCTTCAGGAAAACAGGTTGCACAGGAGATTTTTCCTTAATTCAAAATCTTCCTTTAGTTTCATCTTGTTACACTTTAGTTATAGCCTCTCCATGTACAAGATGTAACAATTCCTGATTGATTTGTTCATGCTGTGTGAGTATACTAAAGTAGGTGCTATATGAGAAGCCTACCCTATGTGTGGGTTTGCCTGCTTCCCATGATTCTTCCCTCTGTTGTGTGTCCGTGACTAGAAGCTGAACAGCTGGGAACAGACTGGAAATACACCTTGAGGTGTGGACAAAATTGGCTGTTTAGGCATTTTACAGTTTGGGAAGCTGAGGAAAGCTTTCAGAATCACTTAAGTTTTCAGATTTTTTCCTGGTTTTAAATTTTTCTCCAATATTGCCTTCATATAATGGCTTACTACTGATACAGTGAAGTGATTAATTCCTTTCTCTGCTGCGTGCCCCCCCCCCTTCCCCCAGCAATTCAAGAAGGGAAAATAGGCAAGAAGTAAACTTCAGGTGTTTTCTTACAGATTTTACACTTTAACTGTTTAGCATTAGTGAGAAGATACTAGTTCTCTAGTGCTGAGTGTCTTTTTTGATAAGGTATTTGTCTCGGTGAAGGTTCTTGGCTTCTGTGTTTTCATGGATGATGCTGATTCTACTTAAAATTCATATACCTCCTTTGCTGCTCAGGTTTAGCAGATCAGACTGGGACTGGTCATAGGCACAAGTTATAGGAGAACTTTTTCTGAACAAAAGCCTAGAGCTCAGAAACACATTGATTGCAGCTGTACCTAAAATAACCAGCAGCACTTTGCTAAGTTCTCTAATCTCTAGGAAATATGAATTTTACAAGATACTAGCTCAGAAAGCTGTTCTTCTGACAGGCAGATGGGGGAAAAGTTTTTTTTCAGCAACTGAGAGCTCATCTTCTGTCTATTGCCACATTAGGGAAGCAGTCTGTCAATAACTACTCTTTCCTTATTTGCTGCTGAGAATTCCTGCCCTGCTTAGAGGTTCGGGTCTGAGATTATTCTGTGGTAAGGGGCTCCTAGTTATGAGTCCTGTGAATACAGAGGATCAGAGTACATTGACCTTGTCTCTTCTAGAGCACAATGCAAGATAGATTTATTTTTTTAAGAGGCAGCAATTTTTTTTTTTTCTTCTTAACTGTAAGCATCTCTATAGACCAGTCAAATAACTGAGCAGAGGAGGAGTGGAAAGCTCTCATTTGAGGGACACTGGAGTTTCTCAATTCTTATTTCTAGTGCCTAGAAATACTGGTGACTAGTAAGGGTAGGAATTAAATAATTGATGTCATAAGAAGTATTTCCAGTATATTAAGGAATCTAAGCTGACAGCATTGATAGTGGCTGTGTTCTATCCAACACTATGTAGGCTTGTGATTGGATATGAAGGCAATTTTCCCCTTGATTAAAGCCACAGCAGAAAATGTTGAGGTAAAAATGAACAGAACCCTTATCATGACCTCAAAGAAGGGCTGTCTTTGTGCTTATAGGATTACTCTGCTTGTATGCCATTTGTACCTCTGCTTATAGACTGAACCTATTATCACCAGACAAAGGCTGTTCTGAACAGGTAGCTCAAAGAAAAATTTACCAGTACAGAAGTACCCTGTGGTCTTCTCCATCCCCTGAGTGCCAAGTCCTTTGTTAGCACTCTCCGTGATACACTGACTTGCAGCTCCCCCTCCCAAGCTTAGTGCAGTATACAGAAGTGGAAGGATTTTTTTTTTTTTAATAATGCCTGCCTTCAGAACTAGTGCAGAGCTTTAATCCCAAAGAACAGAAGTCTCCCAGGGTGAGGCAGGAGTGCCCTAGCTGCACTAATCTGCTTACAGGAGGTGCTCACACTGTCCCAAGGTACATTCTGTTTGTCAGGGTCACTGCTGCTGACCAGCTTTTTTATAGAGGACTCAGAGTTTCAGAAATATATTTTTGTAGACAATGACTAAACTGTGAAACATTGAAATAAAGCATGTAAACAAAAACTTACAGCACTGTCCTCTGTACAGATGTTTCTCTCACTTCAGTTCTCTCCTGAGTCGAGAAAATGTTTGATTACTTCTTGGATATATTTTAATAAAGTTCTCCAAAGAACATGGCTGCTGTCTCTGGAAGGGGTGGTCTTAGATACAATATTGAGAGGGGGGAGGGTTGAAAAGCTGTACAGGTGAGTATCTGCATCGGTCCTGCTTTTCTCAAATTAGGTAAATTGGATCTTTCATACAATCACTCCCTGGATCAGCCACTCTGGCAAATGACTTTCTTTGGATTCTGGAGCACTATCAATGAAGGCTGTGAAGGTGGTGGACTGGAGAAGCAGCCTTCTCCAATGGTTAAAGGACAGCTTTGGATGTAGCCTGGTAGTTACATGACTTCTCACAAGTTGAAATTGCGGTAACTGGTTTTATAGCCTTTTAAGTGTGTAGATACACATGTCTAAACAGCAGTAGCTGTCTTTACCCTTTTACAGAAAAATAGTATTTGAAATTACTACACAGCATTAGCCCATGAAACTAACTTTTCTAACGTGTAATAAAAGTTGGTGCAACAGAATTAGCATAGGAAAGTGGTTAGGTATTTCATAAGTAGAGGTTAATTCATGTTTTATGTCCTATGTTCTCTGTGTCAATCATTAATTAAAGTTAGGGAACTCCTTCCTATTCTTGGTGGATTATATCACTATTTGTCTAGCAGGTGCTGCATGCCTTTGGAATATCCAGCACCATGCTCAGGGGATGAGATATGGGAAATGCTGGCCTGCTTTATCATGGCAATGTCAGCCTTGGAGCTGGTAGAATGGGAAGGGGACCTGGGACCAAGTTGGACTCTTTCACGTGGTGGTACATAGCTGATGATGTTACTGTTTCAGTAAAGAAACTTAAGGCATGAGGGTGAAGCTTGGTCTTCAAAGAATACAGTACTGTCTTGGATTTACCATGGCAATCACTTGGATGCAAGACATAATGGCTTTGCTGACCTTCAGTAATCTTTTGTGTAGGTATTGGCTCCTGAATTTTTTTTTTAAATAAAAGACAACAAAACAAAGAATGGAGTTGGGGGAGTTAGTGAAGCTAGGGGTGTACAGATAGTGGGATGAAATACATTTCTGAGGGCAGGTACGTTGTGCAAACTGGTATTGGGCATCACCTTATCCCTTTCCCAGTACAGTAAATTGCATCCCTCTAACCCGGAGTAACAAGGGTGGAATGCTGTCATCTACTTAAAACAACCTAGCACAATGATTTTGAATAAATGAAAATGAAAGCAAGCAACTTGCCTTTGATGTTGCAAATTCAGTGTCAAATGTGACTGTCCCAGAGCGAGAAAACAGTACATGCACAAGAAGAAAATAACTTAATTCCACAAGAATATCCTTGCCCTGATATGGAGTATAACATCTGCTCCTCATTACAGTGCTACTGTGTCTTCATTGCACGAGCAGAAAGAGCTGTCAAGTTGCCTGTAATTTCTTTAACAGTGTAGGATTCTGTGGTTGCTCAAGTGTGCTGAAAAGGAGCAGATTTAAGGCATTGCACTATTGTACTATAAGAACTGTTCAAGTATTTCAGCTAATCGTGATGACTGCATCCTGTTAACAAGCTTTTGTTTCTTAATTGCCCCCTAAATAAATGCCTTTTCAAAATCTGCCTCACCGAAGAGCAAAGCACCTAGACCCGTGAGGCACTGCTGTTATTCTGGTGCCAAGAGCATTCGCTCATGCCAACCTGAGACATTCAAAACGGCGTATCAGACCCCACATCCCGAGCTACTAGTCGCCCTGGCTTTTGTATGTATTTATCTCGAAATTTCGGTAAAAGCTCCTTAATTTCTGTGACAAATTCGTATTTTGAACTTGGCGTTAGTGAGAGGCTCTGCTGCGCCAAGGCCTTCTGCTACGGCTCCTCCGCACTGAGCGGCTGCCCTGCCCCGGCGCGGGGCCCGCCCCTCCGGCGGCCCCTCAGCTGCGCTCCTGCTCCGGTTCGCCGCAGGGTCCCGTCCCCGAACCCGTCGCCACCGGGGAACCCCCCGGGCCCCCCGGGCGCGCGGTGCGAGGTGGGGCGGCGCGGAGCATTGTGGGGCAGAGGAAGGAGGGGGAGACCGTGCGGGCGAGGTGCATGCCGGGATAGGGGCGGGCGGCGCTCGGAGGCCCAGCGCGGGGCGGTCGCTTGCTCGGTGTCTCGGGGCGGCGGCGACCGGTGGGCTCGGGCCGGCGACGGAGGAGGCTCCTGCCCGTCGGGGATGGCGGACGCGGCGGCCTCCCCCGTGGGGAAGCGGCTCCTGCTGCTGCTGGCGGCGGGGCCGGGCGAGGGCGAGGCGGCGGGGCCGGAGCCGGGGCCTGCGCTGCCCTCCCGGGCCTGGCGGAGCGGCACGGTGCGGGCCATGAGCGGAGCCGTGCCCCAGGACCTGGCGGTGAGGCCCCGGTGGCGGCGGGGGGCGGGCGGCGGGGGCTGGGGCGGCGGGGAGTCGCGGGCGGGGTCGCGGCGGGTCGGGCCGCCCGCGTGGGCCGCGGCCTCCCGCCGCCGGGCAGGGTTGCGGAGAGGGCGAGGCGCCGGGGCCGCGGGGCCGCCTCCCCCAGGCGGGCCGCGGCAGCGCCGAGCTGGCGACCCGCGGCCTCCCCGGGGCGCGCCGCTGGTCGCCGCTCCCCGCTGGGCCTGCTCGGAGCGGCGGCCCGGCCTGCGGCCAGCGCGGCGGCAGAGCGGCCCTGCGAGCTGCCGGGACACGGGTCTCCCCGAGGCGTTGAGGGTCCAACAGCCCCAGGTCGGGTGCTTGGAAGTAACTTAGGCGTGAAACAAATGCGGCTGAGGCGTTTCTGCTGTCTGATCCTGATACGTTTGTATGTAACTTCTCGGTGTTGTGTTTTGGCTTGTTTTGTTTTCCGGGAAGATGTTAAGTATTCTCGATCAGCCTAAATGATGCCCCTTATCTGAAGGTGTAATTTTTTGCGGGGTTTATCGTTTTCATTCTGTCTCAGATACTGTTTTCAGCTGTAGGAATTTGTGATTCGTGTAAATGTGTTTGAACACTCTTTAGCATTTATTTGGCTTATTACTAGTATAGTTCAGTGAGACAATTGGGTGGAGTTGTTAAAAAGAGCTCTTAAAAGCTATCTGCCGTTTCTCCTTGCATGTGTCAGTTCTGCAAGTACTCTGTAAGTGTTGGCATGCTTTGGAGAACTGGTGGCATGCCACTCAGAACTGCGGCTGTTAAAGTGACCCACAGTAGGGGGAATGAGGTTCTGTGTTGCTCAAGAGTTTTGTTAGTTATTTTTATGATTAGGTTTTTTAAAATTTGCTGTTGTTATGATAAGTTCTTTGGGCTTCTTTGTAGAGCTCCAACTTTGAGGAGTTTCCCTGACTTCCTGTAGTGATGCTGCTTTCTTTAACCTTGTTTTACAACTGCATCCAAGGCTCTCAGTAGGAAGTAGTATGTGGGTTTTAGCTTTGCAAACCCAGGTGTCCTGGCACCCTGTGTCTGAGGTTGAGAGTTGTGGTGATGCACTTTAGCTGCTCCCTTATTTGTTTAAGGAGGAGAAAAATGAACAAGCAAAAAAAAAATGTACAGAAAGGGGATCTTCGAAAGGAAAATGGGATGAGCATTTGAGACTCTTACCTGAAACATGAAAATGTACTGGGGCTAAGACCTGGTCTGGAGAGCTACTCTTGTAGCAGGCTGCATTTGACATGTGTATCATCAGTCCTCTTGCATTATGGAATCATCCATCCCAGACATGCGTATGAGGTAATGAATTTTTGGTGTGCCTGATCTTATTGCAGTTTTGGTGGAAGGACTGGTGGAGTGTTGCCTATTTTTGTGTGTACTCTGGCTGTTAAAAGGTGGTCACTTGTTTCCTGGCTAGTCATTGCTATCCAACCATGTGACACCTGTTAGAGTACCCTACCAAAGTAAAAATCCACTCCTGTGCTTGATAGCCTGGAAAGAATAGGATTTTTTTGGTGTGTGAATTGTTACCTTTGTGCAGCACTGCAGTTCTCACCCTAGTTTCTTTCATCAATAACCTCCCACTTAGCACAATTTCAGTCATACAGCTGTCTTTAAACAGTATATTCTCCAAATCTATACAAGAACTCTTAAATGTGAACTGTGTAAAATACCCCAGGCAGATTTTTCAGAGTTGTGTAATATGGAATCTTTAGTGTTGTCGTGGAACCTTCCGTGCATAATGAACACTGCTTTGACAATGATAATGATGTACTACCAGAAAAATAAGTTGTCTTTTTAAACTCATTCTGCCAGAAGAAATGATGAGTTGGCACCAAGCAGTCAAACAGTTTAGGAAATGTTCACCTAAGGTAGAGTAACAGTGTGGACTAGGTCTGAAAAAGGCTAGGAAAAATTCTATTCTATTCTCTTTGGGTTACTTAAGTCTGTGCTTTCTCATGGTATCTTGTGAGGATGATTTCACTTACTAGCCTGTGGTCTGATGTTGGGCTTTTGTAAATACAAAACTACAGTTGAATATTTGCCTTGGAAAGGTGTAGAAAACTCAGGAATAGAGAAGTATAGAACTTAAAGTGTTTTAGAAAGCAGCTGACATAGCTTTTTTTTTTTTTTAATATTGGAATTTTAGGAAACTGCTACATTTTTTGGTGAGGTAAAGCCTCTGAAAAGGTTTTGTTTGGTGGTGGTTTTTTTTTTTTTGTTGTTTGTTTGGTTTTTTTCTTCCCTATATAAATTTAGTTATAGAGAGTAGTTCTTAAATAGTCTTACTTTGATAAAATGTGGAATAATCTAATTATTGCTAGTTCAGGAAAAAATACATAATGGTCAGTTCTAGTTGTATCATCTTCAGAGCACTTAGAAGTAATCCTGAGGAAAAACTGTGCTGCTATTAGAAGAGGCAAAGCTGTTTTCTAACTGGAAACACATTGTACCTTTTTTCTCAAGATGTCTATTAGGACAGAATCATAAAAGACCTGTCAAGCTTTAGCTCGGTATTGTCCTAATATTGTAAAAGGACATGTTACATGTTAATGGCAAACCAGCTCAATGTGTCATATGCAGGACAGTACTGCTTTTGTTTATGTGGGAAGGTGTATGAGTGACTATTTTAATGCGTAGACAAGATATACAAA